CATGAATCAAATATGCACTTTTATTCATTTACAATAAACTCATAAAGTACATCATTCTGATTGAAGCTAAGGGCATACAAAACTGTCCAACAAGAGTTCCCTTACCTTAGCCAGATAGGCCAACATGGCGGGGTTCTCATTCCTCATACTCATCATTCACCTGGTTTACCACGAGTTATGAGTTGCTGCAAACTACGAAATGTTTGGCCTCGACTTCCTTTGCTAGTGCCAGCCCAGCTATGAGTGCCTCGTATTTGGCCTCGTTGTTTGAAGCTCGAAACAAGAACTAGAGCCCATATTTTAGTTTCCCATCGCTAGGTCCGTAGAGTATCAACCTAGCTCCGCTTCTGCTTTGGTTTGACAAGCCATCCACTTGAAGTATCTAAGGCTCCTCATCCCACCTCGCAATCTCGCAAGCTGGCGTTGGTGCTACACTGGTTGACGCCTCCGATGTGGTTACTAGTTCGACTACTTCAGGAGCCGGCGAGCTAAAGGTGCACTCAACAATAAAGTCTGCTAGGACCTACGCTTTTATCACTTGTTGCGGCTCATAACGGATATCGTATTCACTGAGCTCTATTGCCCATTTCGTTAGTCTCCCCGAGACCTTAGGCTTTTGGAGGATTTGCCTCAGAGGTCGATTAGTTAAGACTATGTGATGGAGTTGTTGCTCAGCTTTCTACCGGCAACTGGTTCTGGTGGGGTTCAGGGGCCGCATTGTCAACTTAAGGTCAATTGCGAGCTGGTTTTCGAACAGGTTCTGGAACTTGGCTAGGAACCTAAATTTGGCTGTTGTTCCTAGTTTGGATTGAGTTCTGGTTGCCGAGTTGATTCTACTCGGCGTTCTGTCGTGGTACACGCCTAGGAAGTGGTACCTGTTGCTGGTGACGCCTTTGTTGCTCCTAGTGTTATTCTCCCGCCATGAAGGCGAACTTGCTTTCCCAAAATTTGAGTTGATCGCTCATTCCTTGAATGCACTGTACCAGATCATAGAATTGGTGCGCATCAACTGTTGCGGGAGCTACTACAGGCTCGATCGCAGGAGGAGGCGCGTTCACATTCTCTGGTACATTGACCAGGTTCAGAGGAACATCAATTTGCCCAAATAGTGACGGTAGGCACTTGTCCGTTGTTGGCAGGCTGATTGCTTGAAGAAGCCATTGGTTCTTATGCTTTCGAAAGGAATGTAAAGGAAGAGTACTTAGCTTTTTCGTTTCAGTTTCCCACAAAAGACGCCAATTGATGTCACGTGATCTGGAAGCTCCCTCATGCCCGATGAGTTGGACTTCAATTTGGATATTTCCTAGTCAGGGCTGAGCCGTGCTAGGCTAGGGTGTCTTTACCTAGGGAGGGCACTCTGATGCTTAAGTCAGAGAGGTTTTGTGAAATCTTTTGAGAGCTTGAGAGAGCTAGAAAGTATATAACCACGTGTACCTTTTCAGGTAGAAATGGGTGCCTTTTATAGGTGCCAGTGGTCAAAGCCCTCTTGTAATGGGTCTGAGCTTCTCGCGGAATCGTTTCTGCTTTGTGGGCGCGTTAATGTACGGTTAAGAGATCTGCATGGGGGTTACGATCTACCCGAGTAACTCTGTGGCCTGCGATGCGGTAGGTCGGTCTAATGGTCGAGGTATCAATGCTCCGGGGATCTCAGCTTGGTAAAATACTGCCGGGTCAACGAGCTCTTCCTTGTAGGTCACCATGAACTCCTTCAGCTCGGCCGGCTCCTAGGACAGGTCACTGTAATCTTACAAGGTCAACTAGTTTGGTCCTGTCGAGGTGGAGGTCGGCCTGGACAAGGTGCTCCAAGCTGGCTTACCAAGTTAGTTTGCTTACTTAGTTGAGATGTCACTCGAAGGCCATGTGTCCCAACATGATTGATCAGACCAAATTACCCCTCATCACCCTTTGACTGCCATCTAATTCTCTTTATCAACCATCCGAACGTTGACAAAAAACTGAACAGTTCCAAGTCCTAGTCTCTTCTATTCAAAAAAGTTGGTGGTTGTTTAGAATAATCTAAAATTTGGGACTATTCATTTTATTATTAATGTTTGGATGGTTGATAAAGAGAATTAGATGACATTCTTAAGGCATTTTTGACTTTTCAAATGTCACTTAACGGTTGATTAACGGATTGCTTAACGATAGGTATTGGATTGTCACATTTTGAAAGTCCTAGTACTGAATTTTCACATTTTAAAATTTGGGGACCAAATTGTAACTCAAGCCAAGGTAGATGATAATGGTAAAGAATTTTCCCTAATATTAAAGATTCATGGAAGATAGCTTATTTAATAGAGCTTCTCGATTTGAAAGGTTAGGGTTTTGATAAACTAACATCTCTTTCTTCTTTTTCTTGTTTTATTTTGAAAATATGAAGAAAAATAAAGGGTAAAATAGTGTTTTTCGTCTTTATGTTAACGGATGCTGACATAAAAAAAATATTAATCAATTGTTAAAAACGATAAGATAGTATTAATTAATTTTCAAACAATAATAATATATTTAGTAAATTAGCTAAACTAGGTAGTTTAAGAAATTTTCCCGTAAAACAATTTTCGCGAATTATTCCGCAAAAGGAAAGAGTCCTCTTCGTTAGAGTGTCGATCGTCGGTCCCCCGTAAAAATAACCAGGCAAAAGTCTCACGAATTACGAAACGAGGGAACGTTTCTCTCTCTCTCTCTGTCTGTGTTTTGTTCGTTCCCTCCATCCCATTTGAAAAACTCACCACTCATCACATTACTCTCTTCCATCTGCGTCATTTATCATTATATATATTTCCTGTTTCTATAAATTTGAAATCCCCTGCCGACCTCTCTTCCTCTCTTGGAAAATTTTCTCAAACGATCATATTGAGGAATAATAGATAATTGACGCAGAAGAGAGGTAATTCGTCGAAACGCCGAACTTCTCGAAATTCTTCAATGTTATTTTTACTTCTTGCAGATTTCTTCACTGATTTGATCCTTAGATTCTGAAAACCCTAGTTTATAGGGTTTTTAGGGTTTCGAACACTCCTCAATGCTGCTGGTGGCATGATGAATCGGGAACAAGCCTCGGAGTGTGGTGGTTGTGACTCCGAGGACAGATGGATACTCCACAATGTCCGCCATCGAGGTATATACCGTCGATTGTGCACTTCCTGTGTTTTGAAATTTCATGGCGGGTTATTCTGTCCTCACTGTTATGAGGTTTACGAAGGATCTATCCCTCCCCATGAACGCGTTTTGTGTTTGAAATGCCCTTCGGTTGCACACTTGGCTTGTGTTGGCTTGGATAAGGCTTCTCGATATGTTTGTCCTCCTTGTTTGAATTCAAGTTTTTTGTTTTTTGACGTCCCTAAGAAGACTAAAGGTGGTGACGGAAAATCAGTTTCTGCGACTGTTAAGCGTGCATTTGACCAGAAATCCGCCAAGGTTCTTCTTGCTTCTGCTCGCATAGCTGCTGTCTCTATGAGTAAAGCTGCAGCTGCTGCTAGGATTGAGGCGGAGAAGAGAGTAAAAGAAGCTGCTTTGACAAAGAAAAGAGCAAGAGAGGCATTGGAACGAGTTGCTTTCCTCGTAGGCAAAGAGAAAGAGAGGGGTAAAGAGATGACTTTGGTCCCTCGTTCAGTCCCAGTGTCGGAGCAGAGGAAGAAATCAAAAGGGTATAGTGCCGTTGCGGCTACAGTTGCAGCTCATAAACGGATTCAAGATAACCTGAAGGCTGGCGGAAATGATAAACCTGGAGGTATTCCGGTAAATTTGAATAATAATATTGCTTCAAGAGAAAAAGATAGGTGGGCAAGGATCCGCCCTCCAAGTGTGGTGCAAATGCTTCCTAAGAATGGCATTTCCGTTGACGACAGAGATAAACAAAAAGCTTCTTCTGCTCCTGTTATTGTGCGCCAACAACTTCAAAATACTGATGCGGTGAACGAACATGACAGGTCGGGCAGTATATCTAATTTTCAAAGCCATACTATGCAAAGGGAGAAGGGGAACAATGGGATATGTTCGGTTCCTGCAGTTGTGGGACAGCATCAGAACCCTCCAAAGAGTAATGGTTTGGAAGAGGATAAAGGAAAGTCAAGTTGATTTGCAGATTCTGAGATGGGTCCACGATTACCTAAGTCAAATCAAGGTTGAAAGTTACCCCCCCCGGCCCTCTTCTTTGCAAGAGTTCAATGTTTTTGTCTTCTTATGTACCTTATGCGTTTACTGCAGATACATTGGCTGCGAAGACAAATTCAGGTGTTGTACTGACAGGATCATTAAATGCTGCATGCTAGCTTCTGTGAGTTATTTTCACTGGAAGAAGTTAATTTTTCTTGTTATATTTCATTTTCTCCAATGTGTGCAGTCATGTGGGGATAATTAAGAATGGCTTCTCATGCGGCTCAGTTTATTCTTTAAGAACTCTGGGCCATTTGTATCTTTAGTATGAAGAGTATATTTCATTTTTCTTGTACTCTTTTGTTTTGGTTTGCAATTGCCAAAATTTTGGGAAGGACTTATTCATTGTTTTATGTTAAAGAGTAATGGTGCGTACTTGCATCATTTAACATGTAAATTAATGTGTCTATCCTTAGACAACACTGGTCTAGGAAATTCCTTCTTCTACTGTAGGAATCAGTAGAGATTGTTTTCAATCCATTAAGTACTTATCTGTTCGTACAAACTATTTCCTTTTGTTATATAATGATTTGATTTTCATCCGCATTTAAAAGGTGTGCCTAGGCTCACCAGTTAGGTTCAAAAGAATTTGTAGTTAATTTCTTGAACTTTTGCTATATTTTGATTGTAATAAACATTTGTAGTTAATTTCTGGTCATCTGTGGGCTAAATGATAAAAACATAATGTTTAGACGTTCAAAAAAATGAGTATAGAAAACATGCAAATGTTGAGATGAATGTATGGGGAAACTAGAAAAAACAGAACAAGAAATTGACATATTATAGGAATCTAGAAGTCCCTGATAGGTGATGAAATGAGGGAAAGTAAATTAAGATTTTGTTTGGTAGCATTCTTCTTTCAGGTTGAAATGCTGCCATATGGGTGATTCAACTTTAATGTTAAAACTTGTATTTGGTAGAGGTTTCAACTTGAAATAGATAAAACACTATTGCATCTGGTTTCACACATAGTAAGGCTCAAAAGAACGTCAATTATGTTTCTTGAATCCAAAGAGCGTTCATGCTTTTTTTTTCTTGAAAAAAAAGTGTTCTTCATGCTTTACCTGTCCTATGTGGTGCTACATGTTTGAAATGTTAATTCAATATTATGCTTTGGGTTCTATGCTAAAATGTGTTTCTCTATTCCTACTTCCACCCTAAGAGTCGTTAGCTTAAATGACAATGGTACCAAAACATCATCTAAGATGGTTTGGTCATTTAAAGAGGACTATCTACAGCACCAATGGGAAGTGACCTGTTGCAAATTGAAGGATATAGAAGAGCTTGGGATAGGGAAAAATAGACATGGGTTGAAGTAGTGACAAAAAGACTTGAGGACCCATAATTTAAGTATTTAACAATGAATATGATGCTGAGCAGACTGGCACATGATTTAATGTGATACAGGGTGTAATGTGTCCATTTTCAAAGAGACCAGACCATGGCATGGGTGGAAGGGGGTTGGTTCCCATTCATTTCAAATGTTCCAGCCGGTATCATACTATCATCTATGTCACACTGTATCCAACATGTATCTGTTGAAACGGACCAATATGGGTTGATATGGATCGATACAGATCGTGTGCCAGTAGAATGATTCATATTTATTGGTTTCACTTTTCCAGCATATTTTCTCACTTTTAAGTTTTCCATCTTTATCCTAGATGCTTGTGGGAGAGTTCCTATTTGCAAAAACATTTGAGATCTTGCATTGGAAAGGAAGAAAATTTACTGGAATCAAGAAGAAGAATGTATTTTTGAGGATATCCAAAAATGCAGTAGACCTGCATGTTTTGGTGTTTGGAATGCAAGGATGCATTGCTTTTTTATTGGACCTATGATGGTTTTGCTTGTATTAGCAGTTTCATACTTCCATTTTTTTTTCAAAAGCCAACCCCATATTTGATGATTTGTTTTTTCAAAAAAAAAGGGGAAATCCAAAAATCATATTTTATGCTGGGAAAGAACCATAAAATGGATCTATGAATGATTTATCAATTCCATTGATCTATCAACAAATTATACCAAAAATGGTTTTTAATTTTGGTGACTTATAGAAATAAAAATAATAAAATCGAAATAATTATTTATTATTTATGCCACTTTTCTTTTCATGCAAATAATTAGTGGAAAGTTATTAATTTCTGAAATTTCTGTTTATTGTGGATATCGCATGTTGAAATGGAGGATATCGCATGTCTTAGAATATACATATGCTCACCAGAGAGATTTGTGTCTATAGAGGATGGAGTTCAGCTGATAGAGGATAGATTTGTGTGAGCTAAACACAATTTGGTTAATTGTCCCATATAGGATAAGGCTTGGTTGAGCATATAAGTTGAGCTGATTATGAGGGTTGTGTCAATATGGTGTCCATGTGTTATTCATTTTATAGTGTTGTATTAGCTCTTGATGTTGTTTCAAATTCTCTTCCCCCCTTTGTCTATGAATTCAAGCTGAAGGAAGCATGGTCTACTTTACTAATGCATGAGTGGTTTTCTCATTCTTGAATACCCTTTCAATTCTTTCTATTGATGTGCACCAAAGGTGGCAAGAAGCAGTTTTGTGAGACCCAGGATGGCTGGATCGTTTGACCTGCGATTATGCCCCAACAGCGGTCCTGCAACAGGCTGTGCTTGTTTCAGACATGTAATATAAGCTATACATATAAGTTGAATAGTTGATGTGATATATATGCAGTATTTTTTTTTTCTTTTCTTTTTCTAATGAGGTGATTCTCATCCTTAAATGTTTAATAATCTATTAGAATATTGCCCTGATGTATGAGGTATTGCATCAAAGCAGTATGCTAACAAGCTTCCTTAACTCTTTTTGAGACTTTTATATGCAGGTTATAGCTCTTGAATATCAATGTTTTAGACTAAATCCATAAGCAATTGCAATAATCTGTTTTTGTTTTATAAGAAACTTACGTATTGATCAGAAAAATAAAGCTATTTATTTTATAGAACATGTAATCGTCTTTGTTCTTTTCCAATATAGCTGTTTAATAGATGCCCTTGCTGGGTATGGTGGTCCTACTGTTGTCTGTTCCAGTGTTTAGAAAACCGGACCGGACCAGCCGGTTCAACTGGTTGAACCGTGACTCGGGGCACTGACCGGTTCGGTTACACCCCAATAACTGGATTTGCTTAAAACTTGCTGAAAACTGGCTGACTGGCCAGTTTAACCGGAAAACTGGTGAATTGGTCCCGGTTTCATGATATTGTCTGGGTCCATACAAAAGTGATGTTTTAAAATGTTATTTACAAGATTTGAATCCACAACTTTTGATTTTCACAAATTACTTACTCTTATGCTAATTAATAATTATTTTTGGTACATATTGCATTATTGTGCATGTATTTTAAAGAAAATGTAAGTTAAAAGGCTTGAGCCCTAGTCATTTGTTTTAAAAATTAATAACCTTATCATCCATCCATTATATTTAAGTACATTAAAAGTTGTAAAATATATTCTGTCAACTTCTCCCTTCTCCGGTTCTATGCCTGGTCCAGTTCTCTGAACATTGGTCTGTTCTTTCTGTTGTTATATATATATATGCATGTTATAGCTCTTGAGTATCAATTTTTTTGACTTAAGCCATAAGAACTTGCAATGGTCTGTCGTTGTTGTTATAGGAAATTATGTATTTGATCAGGTAAGTATGGCAGGCCCTGTGGATGTGCCAAAAATTTTTATTTCCAATTATCTTATCAAAAAATGTTTATTTCTAATTGTTTCAATCTTATTTTCTCACATGACAATGCTGCTCAATCTTTTTTTCCATTGGTAGAAGTCTTCTAACTTTTAATAGGTAAGAAGGTAACTGAACTGAGAGAAGAAAACCAAGACCTCTATGGCTTGGGTGACCCGGACGGATCCTCTCTTTCGGGTTTAGATAAGGATTGATTCTTGTGACAGAACCAAGAGGAAATACCTAAGACCTAACATAATGATTGGAACGGAGTTGTCCTGTTTGTTGCAGACATGGTGCATGTGTTGCTAATTTGTGTGTTAATTGGAGAACGTCCCTATAATCTTGGTGATGATACCATTGCAGTTGGTTAATTTGTCATTTCAGGAACTACTACTATCGTGGGGGTTATTTTTGGCTCTAATAACCCCTGGACTAAAAAAACGCCATGTTTTGTTAGGCAAAAAATGCAATAATAAGGCATGCTGATGTAAGGTTGCTCAAGTAAAAAAAAACTGAAAAGTTACAGGTGGGTCTCGCTAAAACTGAAAACTAAAAAACAGAAAACTAACACCTGATTTCGTACTATAATTTCATATATAGAGTTTTTTTTTGATAGGTGAAATATACAGATTGGTGCCATTTAAAATAATGAGGCAAGTTCAAAGTATTTGATGCAGCCATCCATTACAAGTGGATCCCTATTTAAAATGGCTCTCTCCATGGAAGTGTAGTACAAAATCATGGTAAAGAGGATTTCATAAACGATGGGCCCTGGTTGGTTTCAGCCTTTCAAAACGATGGGATGTTTAGAGACCTGGTGTAATGCATATTTTGCAAAGATCAATTGTATTGATTGGGGAATTTAGACGTCCCATTTTTTTACTTTGACATTCTATGAGTTAAAAGAGTTTTTATGGGTATTGGGACATATTTGATAGGGTAAATTAGAGATAGGTACCCTATGGTGATTGATAGGTATCCTGAACTTTTAAATGCAGCACTTGAGTAACCTGACTCCAAAATAGACACCCAGTTTAGCTGGTAAAATTGACTCGGAGGCCGAGCCGTTTTTGCCTCCGGGTCGTGAAACACTGGTTCAACCTGCTTGGTCGAATGGTTCAGACCGTGTCATGTTTGGTTTTGAAATGAGGCACTTGAGTACTTTAATTTGGGGGTAGTGACAGGTGAATTGTGATTCCAAAGGTTAAAATGTTGTAGAAATGTTTTTCTCATAAACACCCAAAAATCAAGTGATTTCTCAAGCGTAGTGTACTCCCCTTTTTTTGGGTTAATGTGATGCTAAAGCCAAATCAGCAAAAGCGAATCAGCTGAAAACGCATCAATGCCAAACATGACCTCATATTATCATGAGAAATGCTCTAATGACCGCTTCCGAGGTTTAGCATATCGAGAGGCATGAACTGAAAAAAAAAAAATTGTGTATTATGCATTTCAAATAATTAGGGGTGCTTCATTATACAGTTCACCACACTGAACCAAACCATAATTTGCAGTTCAGTTTGGTTTGGTTTTTTGAATTTTAGAAATCAAACCAAACCAAACCGTAAACCAAAATATATATACATATAATAACATATATTATGTATGTTTTATATTATATAATAAAATGAAATTTTAAAACACTTTCATTCTAACCAAATTAGCATAATATTTATGATTCAATGATTTTATGGTGATTAAAAAACAATATTTATTATTTATGCAAGCATATATATTGTTTATGCTTTTTAATTGGGTTAATCCTAATAAATGGTCCAGACCATATTAGAAACCACACCAAATCATAATAAAACAGTTTGATGTAATAAAATTCACAAATTATATATTATAGATTTGATCTCCCCTATAAATAATGGGTATTTATTTATTTATATTTTTAGCCTCATAAATGACAAATAGGGTACTGCCAATGAAAGAGTTTCGTATGTAAATGACATCTCCCCCATTGATGACTGGCAGAAGAGTTTGGTATGTAAAGTATTTACTGATGGACAATTTAAAAGTAACAGATTCAAGAATATGCTGGCGAAAACATGGAAAGTTCATCATTGAAGAACCAGGTGGAGTATCCTTGGAGATTGAAGTTCATCATTGAAGGCTGCTGGTCGCTATGTGAGAGAATGGAGGCTCCAGTGGAGTATCGGCACGTCATTATAGATGGAAACATGTCTGTAGATTGGTTTGCTGGTGAGATTTCCTAGCAATTTTGAACGAGATAAAGTTTTCGAGAAAGCCATTGGTTGTTTGACAATGACCTTATTAGGCGGATTTCTTTGATCATTTAGTAGGTTTGCCTGTTGATTACCTAAATGTTAATGATGCGATGCATATTAGTAGTAAGATACAACATGTTGGAGTAAATTTATAAGACTTAAAGTGTCTATTGATTTCTCATCTCCACTAGTTCAAACAGTACCATACACCCTTCTCAATGGGGAGACTATTATCGTGCGCGTTCAATATGAACGTACGCTTGCCTCGTTATTGTTCGTTCTGTGCTCGAGTTGGACAAGGTAGATGGTTGTCGGATTAAACACCGTTTGGATATCGCCACTCATTAATTCCTGTATTGACCCAGATCTCTTTGCTCGATTTAAGGAACTTTCTGTTGACCATCTTACAGAGGATATTTGTACGACACCACCTAGTCGCTTCGTCGCAGAAAATAGAGGACGTCCACCACCCACTTGAAGGGAATCATCGTCTGTAAGGGGTGTCAATGGACCGGTTTTTGATTGGACCCCGTCGAGTCCAATATCAATTTGGACGAATTAGACGGACCAATAAGATATATTGGATTGGACCAATTTGGTCTAAAATATTTATTAGAATGGATTAGACCTGGTCCGCCCGTAATAAATTTATATTGGATTGGGTTGGATTAAGCCAATATTTAGTCCATTCATATAAGATAAGAATATAGGTGTTAATGGACCAGGTTTGAGTTGAAACCAATCTAAATCGAAACGAATTTGAACAGATTGGACGGTCCAGACATTGAATTGGACCGATCCAAAATGATCCAAAATATTCATTGAATTGGATTGGACTTGGTCCATTTATAATGGACTCACATTGGACTGGATCAGATTGGACCAAATCCAGTCCAATTGACACCCCTAATTCTGAGGCTGAGGTGGCAAGCCCTCAATTGCCACCACCCAACCCATGAAGCTACTATCTTGGAATTGCCTGGGAGGGGGAGTCCTCTAGAAATTTGGCACTTGCTATTAGACAGTTATGCCCTTAACTTCAATCAGATTAATTTACCTTTTTGACATTTATTGTAAATGAATAAAATACATAATTGATTCATGTCATTGTGGTGTATTTCTGTGTAATACCCTTGATAGTGTGTGTAATTTCCATATTATTTGTATTTTTTCTTATTTAATTAGTAAGTTAATTAATGGATTTTATTGTGTTTTATTTAGAAAATCACAATTTGGGAAGAAAGCTGAAAGGAGCTTGTAGCATAGCCCCAGCATGTTGGAAGAAGACCAACACGATTTCACCATGCAAGAAGTGGGCCCCATCAATCCTAGTAGGATTCGGCTGAGTTGGAGGCGTGAGTCACCAAGAGTTTTAATAGAGTCTATTTCTTACTGTACTTCTAAAAAGAAAGAAAGTCAAAGTCCATCTTAGTTAAGAATTTCTATTTAGAGATAAGGATAAGATTAGATCTGAATTAAGCATTATTCCATTAGGAAATTGGACTTTCTATTTTTGAAAAAGAACTCCTAAGAGGTGTTTGAAACA